ACATTCCAGAAGCAGGGTAAAAAGTCTTCTGATATCAGTTCCTACAGGAAGACAAATCTTCCTTTTGTAATTTTCGAAGGACAAGCCAGATGAAAAGTTCAGAGAAGCAAAATTTAAGGAGATGTAAATATGAGAGAAGGGTTGAATAATGACATCTTCTCTGATAAGTATGTTTTCTTCTTTTCTTTTTTATTGCTTGGGTGGGCTGTTGGTAGAATAATAGAAAGAATAATAACTTTTATTGTCACTTTGAATGTACACTAATTGGCATACATTAAAATGAAATTTTGTTGCATTCAGCTCTCAAAGGGTCCTGTTCTCACTGCAGAATTTTTTTTTACAATAGATACAATGTATAGATACACCTTTCTTACTGACTGCCTCATTCAGTGACTGTTTAAATTTACAATAAACTTGAAAAAGTAACTTTAAAACCAATGCCAGAATATACAACTTTTGCAGTTTCCCTCAGTCATGTGATTGCCCTCACTTAATTGGGACCATCAACTCTGCCTTAAATAAAGCTTCACTAAGTGGGAAATCACATGACAACAACTGTGCTTTCTGGTTGGAAAGAGACAAGACTACTCAGTTTTACACCTTTTGCTTTTATTTATTTGTAAAATTTATAGGCCGGCCACCTTACCTCAAGGCCTTACCTTGATTGCCCTCCTAACCACTTCTGAGGAATGCTCAAGTCCTGATTATTGTCTTGTACATATCAAAAGCAATGCAATCACGCATGGCAACTAGGCTGTGAGACATGGGTACACTATTTGAATGGCTTAGGAAATTCCTCTATCTCTAATCTCTCCTCTGGCGGGAGGGGGGGGGGAGAAAAAAAAAGCAAGCAACTTTTGTAGGCAATCTTTCCTTTGCCTGATCCTTTCCCACTATAAGTATGATCACATTCCTTTCTATGTGTAGAAGAACAAACAGCTTACTGTCTTGCAATCCCTTTCTCTCCAATCTCTCTGTTTTGTAAGGGTAGTGAGGGAGAAAAAAATACAGGTTGGGGACAAGATAACATGTACTATCTATAAAGGTGATCATGTGACCAAGGGATGCTGTGAAAGTCATAAATGGCCTGTAAAGTTATTTTGACAGTATTATCATAACTTTGAACAATTACTGAACAAATAGTTGATAAGTGAAGACAACCTGTATTTTTTAAATATTATACGTATGCAGATAAGGGGGATAAAGGCTGTGGTCTCCTAATTATCTACAACAGAAAACAACAGCCACATAACTAAGAAGCTGAAATTCAATTATCCAATAATATTTAACCAGCAAGTTGTTAATCAGAATAAACAATTTACTCCATGTACTACTAAAATATAGCCTATATGTGATTAAGGTGCGCTGACCATTTCTTCTAATGTTTTCTTTTGAATACTGAAGGGACATTCAACATTGAAAACTGAAGACATTTCTCCTGGAGGTCTTTACTGTCCTGAGGACATATGCTTCCTATAAAGCAGTTATTGCTATTTTGTGTACAGTAGAAAGACAGTTGCAAATATTGTAATTCAGGCTTTTTAAAAAGAAATTATCCATCTGAGCTCTTGGTTATTTTCATGAATCTGATGCTCATTATTTACATATCTACATAACTATACAGCTTATTCAATATCCTTTGGAAAAAGAAAAAAAAGATACTACCATCATAGCTGTGATCCACATAACTGCATGCCCTATGTCATAAGCATTTGTTAGGAATCGTGGAACCATCATCTGATTGCTTCCCACTGGAAGATTCAAGCTTCGCAGTATTCTGGTAAATATCTGCAGAAAAGGAATTGGGAAATTAAATAACTAAACTGTATCATGAATATTTGAATTTTGTTATAAAATTAACCAGACTATTGAAACGCTCCAAGTTCAAAACCAAATCTCCAAAATAAACAAACCTTGATTAAAGGAGATGGCATTGCTGCTGACACAGAACTAATGGGAAACTCTTCAAATTAAATTTATATGGTAGAAAATTGCAATTTCTGCTTTAGCAATCTATATTGAGATGTCTCTCTGTTAATGCACATTTGCTATTGCACAGTAGCCACTTTCACATCTTGACAATTATTAACCAGCAGGTATGCATGCCAAAAGCATCTGGAAAGTATCTACATAACTTGCTAAAGAAATTCAATTAGCCCACTAGATATTTTCTTTTAAATGAATCAAGTATTCAGTATTGCAAAATCAATTTCTGCTCTGGACACTAAATCTGATGACCCGGCTCTCAACATTACTGGTTAAAGAGAGAAGTTAATCATAGTCCCAATGAATTTTAAAACTGCAACAGTTTTAAAACTGTAATTAAGGCATGATTTAGTTTCAATTCACAGAAATTAAATTACAAAATACGACAGATGCCATGGCTGCTAAAAATTATAAAAATAATAGACCACTGTTTTCCCCATTACTATCACATTCTTGCAACTGGAAACCCCATTAATTTTTCAAAAGTTTTATTCTTTATAGCAAGAAACAGAAATCCCAGAAAATATCATGATGTAGTTTAAAATTTAAGATCCCAGTGTGATAACTTTTGTTTACCATACTTTAAAAGAAATAGATCAGTAGAAATAACACTCTTGCTTATGTTTTTTTTTTTATATATAAACAAAAATCCTTAAAATATAGTTAAGACTTAAACATAGTTAAGAGAAGTTTAATAGATAGGGCAAGACAGAGAATAAAAACAATTCTGCCCTTCTAATAAAAAGTTCAAGATTAATCACAAAAATTTATAAATTACAGCTTTCCAATAACGTTGACAAGATAAATGATTTTAAATGTAATAAATACACTTAGGACAGGGTACACAATTTTTATCTTCTGAACTAAAATAATGAGAGAGATAGAGACAGAGACAGAATGAATTAAAACTGCATGTTTTGTCAACAGAGAAATCACTTGGCAGATCTTCTTATTAATATTTGTAGTATTTTCATATTAAATATTACCTTTGGAATATAGGGATCCCAGTTGATATAACCTATGTTATCAGTCGCCAAACGTGCAAAAATATTGACTAGATGCTAGAAAGAAAAAAGCACAGACCACATTTTCATGATACAACATCAACATTCAGTATAGTATTAAGGTTTATTCCTGTTTTTTTTCTGTAGCTTTCTCAAGAAGTAGGATCACATTTCAGAATATTCATCATGCACCATGGGATCATAAAGTAGCTGAAAAGTTGCAAAGCAGTGACCATAAGAAAATTACTTTAATAGCAACAAAAGTTGCAAGGGGTGTTTGGACAATGAACAGATGCAGAGAAGTAACACTAAAACTTCACAAGTAAACAGTACAGTGAATCAAATAAGTATTTTTCATGTTTTATACAGGCTTATAAAAAGTAAGGTGGGTATCTGAACAACAAGAGATATTCCCATAAAATTGGCAAACTGGTTTCCTTCAGAGAAGAAATGGGACTGAAAAAAAACGATAGTCCCAGAGATATTGAAAAAGGTAGCAGGTAGGAAGTGAGTTAATAATAAGAAAAAAATATATAAGTATAAAGAATGTTTACAAAAGGAATAATTATAATATAAACAGGATTTAGAAGACCTTTTGGTTAATTGGTCCCTAAAGTAGTAGGGAGAGATAATATGGTAAAGACAATGAACATGTGGCTTTCCAGATGTTGCTGAATCCTGACTGAAGCTGTGGGGAGCTACCATTCTGCAACATCAAGAATCACAGATTTCTCACAAAAACTAGAAAATATAGAACCAGAAAGTAATAACAACCTAGGATACAAATAGAGAAACATTATGAGAAAGAAGAAATTCTCTTCCTCCTGTCAACCGGCAGGTGACATGTAGGTGGTTTCTGGCAATGATTACTGTTTCTCTGCAAGAAGGGGTAGTGACCCAATCTTTCAAGGTACTATTATTTCTAATCCAATTATCTACATATCATCTCTGTAGTAAAAGCAAGTGGGAAAATAGGTGGGGCACGTTACTTACCCCTTCCCATTGTGGAAGATTTTGAACTGAAACCCAAAGCCCTAGAAATTCATCAAGCCAGAGCCTGCAAGACAATGAAATCCCACCAACAGAATTTTAATATGTTAAAACAATTTGTTTCCAATATCTAATAATACATACTTAATACATTATAGATTTCAAAACCAATGTGTGTGGGTGTGACATATATCTTATTTCAATACCCTATATTCTATGAAAGTGATTTTATTATGCATAATGAAGCAAAATGCTCAAAATTAGCCACACAGACTAGACTTCCTCCAACTGACAATTTAGTTGTATCATTCCAAACTCTAAATCTTTTGCTGTTTATTTCAACAGAAAAAAAATTACACTTGTATTTAAAACCTCTTTCACTACATAATGGAAGAAAACTCATCCAGTGCTACAAAGTGTGTTGATTCAAAGGTTCTTAATAACTGAAAAGCAGCTAACAATTTCCAAAAGTGGTTAGAACAGGAATTATTCAAACTTAAGTGTCCTTCTAAAGACGATGACTGCAGGTTGAGGGGGGGGGGAAATAGTTATTCCCTTGTCTCTCGCAGTTCTAACGCTATCACAGATCACTGTGTTATGGTGTCCTCATGAGGAGCAATTGTATGGAGTACTTGAGTGATCTCAAGTCCTTTCCTTCTCTGGAGAGGAAATGCAAAGAGACGGTCTACTCGCCAGCTCTTCATTCTGCAACGGTTGTTTGCTGAGTCTTCTCTGGAAGTCCTACAGCACAGGCTTCCAAGGGCATAATTTATATTGGGGTGGGTAGCCTGCAGTCCACAAGTCCATTTTCTGTGATTCCCTTAGACCACACCACCAAAATTTCAACAGTAAATTGCAGATAATCAGTGACTCAGTTTTCCTCAATTTTAATTTTGAAGCAAACGACACATGAGAACTGCAACATGCTAAAATTGTCTTAATTGTTCGAAAAGACAAAAGAAAACTTCAACCTCCATACACACAAACCTACATTAACTTCATATTAAGCATTCTGTGAATACATTCTGTAATTTTATTAATCTTTGTAATGATTAAAACACTTGAGGTTCCTTGACATTTCATTTTTTTCCTAACTGAATTTTAGAAGTTGGTTAGGAAAAAACTGGCATTTATATGTTGAATTACTAAACATAAATAAAAGTTTAAAATATGAACCTTATTGAATATTTGCCATGACTTTGCAATACCTACTTAAACTGAAGAAAGGCATTTCCTAAGCCTACAGTCTGGTCATCTTTGTAGGCAGGCATATAAACCTCTAAAGCTGATTTTAAATGATTTTAAATCGCAGGCAGATGGTTATAGATGAAGGTACTGCTTGTGATCCCAGATCATGTAAATGTTAAAACTGCTAGTGTATTTTCACCAGTGCAACTGGTGAAAACCATTATTTCACAGATAACTATGCAAGATCTATTCTACTGAGTTAGAATCACAAAAATAAATGACATAAACAAACAAACAAACTCCTGGCTTAGCTTCTCTGGCCAGCAATGAATCTAAAACTCCAAATTGTATAATAGGTAGTTCAGAGGGAATAAAATACAAGATGAATAGAATAGAATAGAATAGAATAGAATAGACTTTGGAAATCTTCTAGTCCAACCCCCTGCTCAGGCAGGAAACCATTTCAGACAAATCGTTGTCCAATCTCTTCTTAAAAACTTCCAACGTTGGAGCATTCACAACTTCTGGAGGCAAGTTATTCCACTGATTAATTGTTCTAACCGTCAGGAAATTTCTTAGCTCTAGGTTGCTTCTCTCCTTGACTAGTTTCCATCCATTGCTTCTTGTCTTGCCCTCAGGTGCTTTGGAGAATAGCTTGACTCCCTCTTCTTTGTGGCAACCTCTGAGATATTGGAACACTGCTATCATGTCCCCCCTCGTCCTTCTCTTCATTAAACTAGACATACCCAATTCCAGCAGCCTTTCCTTATATGCCTTAGCCTCCAGTCCCCTAATCATCTTTGTTGCTCTTCTCTGCACTTTCTAGAGTCTCAACATCTTTTTTTACATCGTGACGATCAAAACTGGATGCAGTATTACAAGTGTGGCCATACCAAGGCACTATAAAGTGGTATTAACACTTCACGTGATCTTGATTCTATCCCTCTGTTAATGCAGCCTAGACCTGTGTTGGCTTTTTTAGCAGCTGCAGCACACTACTAGCTCATATCCAAGTGATTGTCCAATGGGACTCCAAGATCCATGTCACAGTTACTATGATTGAGTGAGGTACCACCTATACTGTACCTGTGCATTTGGTTTTTCTTGCCTAAATGTAGAACCTTACTTTTTTCACCGTTGAATTTCATTGTTAGGTAGCACCCAACTTTCAAGTCTGTCAAGATCCTTCTGTATCTTAAACCTATCTTCTGGAGTGTTGGCTATTCCTGCCAGCTTGGTGTCATCTGCAAATTTGATGAGTTCCCCACCTATCCCCTCATTCAAATTATTGATGAAGATGTTGAAGAGTATTGGGCCTAAAACAGAGCCTTGGGGTACCCCACTGCATACTTCCCTCCATGTTGATGTAGTTCTACTGAGGACTACACGTTGAGTGTGGTTGGTCAGCCAGTTATGAATCCATCTGGTGGTGATGCTATCTAACCCACATTTTTCTATCTTATTTAGTAGTAGGTTGTGGTCTACTTCATCAAATGCCTTACAGAAGTCCAAGTAAATGATATCCACAGCATTTCTCTGGTCCACTAATTTTGTCACCTTGTCAAAGAATGCAATAAGATTTGTCTGGCATGATCTGTTTTTGACAAACCCATGTTGACTTTTGGTTGTGACTTTATTTGCCTCTAGGTGTTCGCTGATTCATTGCTTATCTTCTCCAGAATCTTCCCGGGTATTGAAGTCAGGTGATAGGTCTGTAGTTTCCTGGATCTATTTTTTTCCAGTCCTCTGGTAGTTGCCCAGTGCCTCAGGATCTTTGAAAGATATAGTTCAGTGGTTCTGAGAACATGTCTGCCAGTTTCTTCAGAACCTTGGGGTGTAATCCATCTGATGATCTGAATAGTTATAAACTTCCATGCATTAAAATTCAGCTGAAAAATGATACCATTTTTTGTTTAATTTAGAGGAAAGCTTCATTTGTTACTACAAAACTACCTCCAGACATTGATTTGACAAGCGAACAGCATCCTTGGATAAGATAAAGGCAGAATTGGTCAAATAGGTAGGAGTTTTGCTTGTGAGAGACCAGTCATAGCTTCGGAGAGCAGCCTTGCCTTAGAATAGACATGTCAAACACAAGGCCCGTAAGCCGGATCCAGCTCGCAATTGGCCAAAATTTGGCCTGCGAAGATGCTCCATAGATGGCGAGGGACTGGCCCCTGCCCCTATAGCCCCAGCCCCGCCCCGCCAGGTGGCTAAGGTGCACACACAGGAGGCAGTGAGCACGTGGGGGGCGATGGTGTCCGATAGCAGGGGCTACATAGCCTGCTGTGAATACCAGGTCAGTCCTCCAGCAGCAGCACTGTGGCAGCACCAGCAGCATGCGGAGTCCAGGGAGGCATGTGTTGTAGACCAGCGGACATGCCTACTCTGTCCCATCTCTTTTTGGTTGGAGAGCAAGTCACCACTGTTCATATCCTCATCCCCCTCACGGGTCTTGCCCTTGGCCCTCAGGGGGAGAGCATTCCCCTCATCCACCTTGGTACCCACCGCAGCCACGGCCGCCAGCCACTCGCACAGATCCATTAGGCTGCCTCCAAGAATTGCAGCCCACCCAGCACGAAGGAAGTAAAGTGGTTAGCTAGGAAGCCCCAAGTAGAGGTGGTACAGCACGCCCAGGGCCAGCAGGCAAAAGCCCACCCCTAGCGGGGAAAGCCGGATCCCCCATTGGTGCCATGGCCGCCCAGTCCAAGCCAGGATTGCATGCCTCTCCCCATCTCTGCTGGGCCTGAGAGAGCACAGCACCGATGGGGATCAAGCTTTCCCTGCTCAGGATGGCCTTTTGCTTGCTGGGTGTGCTATACCACCTCTACTGGAGCTTCATAGTTGGCTGCTTTGCCTCTTTTGTGCTGGGTGGGCCTGCAGCTCTGGGCAGCGGTGGCAGCCTAATGGACCTGTACAAGCTGAAGTAGTGGCTGCAAAACATCGATTTCTACAAGCTACTCATAAAAATCAGGTGTTCAAGCACCTTTGAGGAATATTTCTTCCAGAGACAATTTTGGAAGTCTGGATCTCACACCCAGCTACCTTTTCAACCATGATACTCCCACAATTTGCAGAGCAGAGAAAAATGTGGGAGTTAGTTTGCCTTGCCTCATCAGACTCAGCCCAAACTTTTCTTGGGTACTTGTCATACAGTCCAGTCCAGTCTCTGTAAGCAAACTTTACTAACAAAAATAATGTCATGGGGATTTTTGGAAATTCTCAGTATTTGGTGAAGAATATAGTGCCATAACTTTGGAACTTTTTTCCATTTATTTAGAAAACACATCAAAGTAAGCAAGCTACTGTTGATTTCACCATATTGTTTAGCTAAGATTATTTATTAGTAAACAAGGCATGATAATTTCTGTTCCAACTCTTTCTCAAGACATTCACAACTTGATATTAACAGGGCATTGCAACATAATTTGTCTGTACTCAAGATTGCAGCCTAAATTTCCTCCAACTGCTTTTTCGAGTTATGTTAACCTAACCAGTACATCTACATGGCTATTTCTAACACCTGACCTATATCCTACGTTAAGAACAGGATTTTATTATAGTTGGTACAACAAATTAATAAAGTTTCAGAATTTCTAGCACTAGAATTTTATCAAGAACTGAATTAAGCAACAATATTGATAGAATGATACTGCTATTCACTGAATAACTAATTTTAACTGAAAAACAAACCCACTAGACTACTGATCAAGAGAAACAATTTTTAGGCAAACTGGTAAAATCTTGTCCCTTAAAATTTAGCATTCAAAACGAAAGTATCAAGGTAGTACAATAGTAATCATTACATGTGATAGTAAAGCTCAAGTTCACAAACATCAGGGACACTACACATCCTCTTCACAACCTGTTTTCCTTGTTACCTTCTGGGAGGCGGCTTCGTAGTATCCGTAGCAGAACATCCAGATTCAGCCATAGTTTCATTCCATACAGCATTAACCTTGTGAACTCTCAAGCTTCCTCCTTCTGTTATATATTCAAGATGGACAGTATTTAATATCTATTTGTTATGTATATGTAGGGGGTGGGTCTATACATATGTTGTACATAGTATGTTTAGGTGTGTGTCATGTATGTGTTTCACTTTGAGAGCGGGCAACTAAATTTCATTTTTGATGTGTGCCGTTGTGCCCACAGTAAAAAAATGACAATAAAGGTTATCTTATCTTACCTTTAAATAAAATAGAAAATCATATCAAAATGCTGCAAACTAGTAAGATCAACTTACTTAAAACCTTTGTGATGGCACTCTGGAGGAAGAGTGGTAGGCAGAAAAAGTTCAAAATAAGTGATAGCTTTTTGCATGGTAACATCAAAAGGGCACATTAATGGCCGCCATTCATCTAACATCTCTGCTGTGGCACTTTCTGGGAAATAACTAACAACAACAAGAATTTTTGCATCAATATATATTACTTACTTATACGTAATCCCTATCAATAAATCTGAGATACAATTCATTAAAAAACAATAATAAAACATAATATTCTAAAAAAGTACAAACTAAATATGTTTCTGAGACCAAAGTTCTACTAGCTAGATATTCACAACACTGAAATAAAATTACTGCAGTTGCCAGCTTTGTCTCATATAGTAGGGCATTTATTTCATAATTAGACTTCTATATGTAAGAGAATCCTCTCCTAATAAGTTTTTAAGAAGAGACTGGACAACCATTTATCTGAAATGATATAGGGTTTCCTGCCTGAGCAGGGGTTTGGACTAGAAGACCTCCAAGGTCCCTTCCAACTCTATTATTATTATTATTATTATTATTATTATTATTATTATTATTATTATTATTATTATTATTATTAAGAATATTTGTAGCTCAGAGTTGAAATGAGTGGTCCTTGGTGCTCTCTGAGCCTGGTTGTTTTCTTGCAGACATTTCACTGATAATGTTATCTAGCTTGGGTAATAAAACATCTTCAAGAAAACAACTAAGCTCAGAGAGAACCAAGGTCCCCCATTTCAATCCTGAGCTACAAATATTCTCTTTTATAGATCTGTTACAATTAAATGAGTAAAAAATATGTCCCCTTCCTTGTTCTCTGAGCAGTTTTCTGAAATAGAATCTAAAGCATTGTATAGCTTGGAACTCTTAATTTCTTAATAGAAACTTTCTCATTGTCTTTTGCATAATCCTTTGAAATAACTTTGTGATCCATCTATAGTATTTCATGGCAATTGTCAGGAATCAGAATTTCTCCAGTTCAAATAAAAACACTGAAATAAATGAAATGCTATCTTCTATAAGACGATCTAACACAGGCATGATAATTATTTAAGATACGTGCATTGTAACTTCTGCCATTCTGCAAATTTGAAAACACTTTAAAATAATGCAAGAGATATCTTGAAATATAATCATGAAAACATAAGAGTCAAATAGTCACTTTACTTGGTTACATAAAGTAGGGATAATTTACAGTAATGGGAGATTTTCAAACAATTTTAGCTAAACCTTGTTAGCATTCTAAGCAACATATTTATTTGACAGTTTTCTACTCTACCACTGAAAGTACAACTTAATCAGAGGACTCCTGTTACCGACAACAAGGCCCTATGAACACATAGTTTTTTCAATTTCATAAAGAAGACAGCTTCATATGTGCAAGGTAGTCTCAGTATCAAAGAGTTTAAAAAGTACATAAAAAATGAAAATGGTTGAAGTACTTACAGTCGACAATTTTTCACAAGAGTCTTCAAAACACTTTCTACTGAGCTAAAAGAAAACCAAAAAAAGGAAAAATGTAAATAAATTACATTATCCTACTTTATAAGAAGAATATAGTGATATAATTATGCAAAGCCTAAGAGAGTATTGATTCAGTTTCCCATTATCTATGTACATGCAGTTGTTAATTTTACTTAAAGATATAGACTTAGTTATAAGTATTACAGCTGATTTTTAACTTTGTTTCTATTTTCCCTAGAGTACTGCTTGGGCCACATAATGGTTCATGCTTTTCCTTGTATCCCAAATACTCCACTCAGGATGTTTCAGTTTTTAAAAACAAAAAATCACATAATAGTAAATCAGGTTTAAAAATATAATTGAGTAAACTGCATCACACATGCAAACTTACTTGCCAATTATTTTCCCTGTTAATATGTTTTGAGATGCTACATGTTTTTAAAAGCCATATCTTATTATGTACAAAGGAACTATCCCTGGACAATTGTGTCTATTGACAAGAGCATTCAAGGGCGCTCAAGCAGTGGCTTATTTCCAAATGCTCTATAATACGGATTATCTAGTCTTATTTCAAGCTGTTTCTTGGTGCATTTTTGGCACTGCAACCTCTCAAATAGTTCTCTGGACTGGTTACCTACACTGAGATAAATGCTTTACATGATTCTGGTCTCATCTGATGCATATGTTTCAAAAAGTATTGGGGAACTAATCTGGTTTTTTTTCCACAAAATAATTTGGCTACAGAATTCGTCGCTGCTTTATTTGTTTTCTGTGAATTCTAACACCCTAGCAATTAGAAAAATAAGTCTAGAAATTTGGGATTATCAACATCCTTGTAGCAATCAGATTGTTCTTCCTATCTAGTTCAGACATAGCAGCTCAATTATACAGTATGGTGTTGCAATTCACATAAAAGGAATACATTTAAGTAGAGTCTGTTTCTGTCAAGAATATTAAAAAGGTACATGCATTTCAGAGTATCTCCCATCAGATCTTTTGAGGTGTCAGAAACATATATCTTCAAATAAGAATGACTCTGCCATAGGAATTTATGCTTCTGGAAAATTATGGTTCTATTGTAAACCATAAGTTTACCTCTGCAAAGGTGAAATCTTCATCTAAGGTTTTTAAGCAGGAAAGTGGCATATTTTAGATTATTTTTAAAAATCATATACATGCCATTTCTTTTTTATTTTAAAAATATTAGTCCTGAGTGATACCTATGACTTATTAGAGTTAAGTAACAGTACAAAAATAAGCAACATTCTCCTGGCACAATAATAATGATATTAATATTCAAATCTATACTGCACTGCATTCAGGAGAGTGAAACTTCTAGCAATATTAAATTCTGTCCAATATACAAGCCATTTTCATTCAGAATAGCTTGTCTGAAAAAGAAACATAGTTTTGGCTAAAACAGAAAGTCAGTAGTGGTTTTCTGCCTACAAAATAATATCCTATAGCTTAGAAAGATTCTAGGAGTTAAATTACCTAAGAGGCAAAAATGCAGAAGCAAGAAGCTAAACAAAAGCTAACTGTAAAGCCTTTGCTATCCAATCTCTTTTTTTAAAAAAATCATAAATACCCGCTAAATCAAAAGGCAGTTCTGTCTCTGAAGTCACAGAACATTGCTAAAACAAAGTACTTATGTTTAAGCCTGTAGTACCAAATCATAAAATTAAAAAGTCAGAAATCAAGAGAGCAGCTTGATTGTTCTAGCTTTGCCAGATGCCTGCCAAGCCTATTTTTCCAGGAGAGAAGGAAATCCACTCCATTTAGCTTTTCTGCTATATTGGAACTTAATTCATTGTATGTACTAGATAAAGAATATTTATTGAATCATATAAAGAAAAGATAGTGGGAATGGGGTAAATTACTGACCCCCCAACTGTAATGGCAACAAAATATTATTCCTACTATTGAGAAAACTCAGCGTAAAATACATAATTATTGTGAACTATTAAAACCTCATTTTCCCCCATACTTCTTCATAGTGAGTCAAAGATCAACCAGATGATGTTAAGTAATATAGTTCTTCCAAAGATTATACGTGATCAAGTAGTTTTTCTGGCTGTACATTTATCTCTTCAGGAAACAGCAGAATTACATCACTAATTCTTGGATTAAATAGTATTTCTTCAAAAATGACACAATACAGGATCAGCAATCCCAAGGGCCTGTAGATAGTTGTCACTTAACTATCACAATTGGGACCAGCAACTCTTATCACTAAAGAACATGGTCATTGAGACATCATGTGACAAAACCTTACTTTTGCTGCTGCTGTGAAGCACTATGGATTGTAAGTGAGATATCACATGACTTCAGCTTGCAAATTCACTGCTGGATTCCCCATTGACTCTGTTTATTGGAAGCCAGCTATGAAGTGATCTAATTGAGATCAATGACTGCAGACTCTGGAGATGGTCATAAATGCCCACTGTTGCAAAAGATCCAAATTTTGATCATGTTACTATGGTGATGTTGCAACTCTTTTAAGAACTGGTCGTAAAATTATTTTTCAACCCAGTGTAATTTTGAATGGTTGCTAAACAGAGCAGATGTTAAGCAAGAACAACCTGTATATGATAAATACGTCATGTTGCTTTCCTAAAGGAATTGTTAAGTCCCACTATTTTTTCCCAAGTTCACCATTGTACAACTCCAAAAACCTAGTCAATCAAGGGGCTGTGTTCAAGACTCACCTACTTAATCTTCCAAGGAAAGATAGTGCGGGGGAAGGGAGTGTGAGTGGCTAAAAATGCAAGGCACTCCATAATATTACCTGTTGCCAAGCTTCCAAAAATGATTGACTGAAGCATCCAAGTCATGCCCAATACCCCCTGCTGAATAGTGAAGAAGCCACTGATGCCTTGCCAATATTTTCCTGGATACCATTGAATTCTCAAATCCTAGACTCAGGTGATGTCATTGTATCATACAAATTTTAGAAGTAAGAAGATATGACTTGAGTTAGTGGCTGACAAGGTTAAGCAAGCTGAGTGAATACAGTGAGTGAGCACTTGTCTAAACTGTTATTTTTTTTCACAGCAAAGAATCTGTTATATAATGGAAATTAATTTCATTTTAAGACTGGAATCCTAATAATAATAACAATAATATGTACATCCTATTGAAGTTAGTGTGTATTGTTATCACAAAGTGAACTGCAAGTATAAACTAACATTATTTTAAATTCAAATAAGTCTTATCCTACATTTTTAGTCATTCTACCAACCTGTATATTGAATTAAATTCATGCATTTCTACAAATTATGCCTAAAATCAAGTATAATTTATTTTAGGCACCTTAACTATAACTTATTTGTTAACAGGCATTAGCAAGTAGCTATAATTTTCAGTCACTTCACACAAAATATATTTTATTGTAATTAAATTTAAATACAGTGCGACATTCCCATAAATTGTGGTGTAATGTTAACATTGGGTTTTTCAGTTTTATATGCAGGAAGTTACAGGTATGTGACAAATGTTACAATGAACAGGCCATGCACAAAGAAACCACATAGGCCAGAGCTACATAAAAGCAAAATAATTATCCTTACCACCTATGTAAAACATTAAGGACAAATGTTTTAGGTGAAGACAAGCCTGGTCGACATGAACTGAACATAAAGAAAAAAAGGATTTTAAAACAAAATAATGAAAAAAGCAATTGTAGCATTTAAACCAAATAATGTTAAAGCCACAAAAATTATTATTCATATTCCTTTTATTTTAATTCATTCTTCCAAATCCATCCAAAATGAAATATAAATTGTAAGCAATGTTGTCAGAACACCATGCAAGAAAAGGTCGCACTGCACCATTTAATTTCAAAACCAGCCTGCTTGAAAAATGGAAAGGTTGCTTTGGCATTTGTTGCTTTCCCTTTAGTCCCTTTTCAGTTTTTATCTGGGAATCTGTTCTTGAAAGGCAAACTAAACACCAAAAATATTGTTAAGTATTTCTTAATTCAGTTTGCCTGACTGAAGCCAAAATTATTAACTTAGAACATAACTTGGAAGTAAGTACATCTTTTGCCAAATAAGTTAAAAATTCAATTATTAGTGTCACTGTTTAAAAGATTGCAAGCAGCTGCAAAGCTAGAAATGTATTTGTTTCAAGCACTGCCCCTTAGCATTAAATAGCTAAATATTCTAGGAGTAAAATTACTATACTGTATAGGATAAGCTCCTGCCATTCAAAGTTGAGAAAGGAATTTTCCTCATAGAGGTAGATAGAAGCAATGTTATATGTTAGATTAGATAAAACCAACTCAGTAACATCTTTAATGGCATCAGCTATGTAAGGCTTAAAAGTAAAGGACTTTTGTAGCCTTACAATCCATAATGCTGTTACCTAAAAATGCAATAGATTAAAACCTGGTCATCACATATGCACAGCGCATCTAAGATATGCCTTGTCTCTACTAAAACATTAGTTTCCAAAAGTGGATAGACTATAGTTTTATGCGGGGACTCGATCTACTCATATAAGGGCTAAAAGCAGGGAAAGAATATGGCCAAATGCATCCCCATATCTCAAAGTTCTCATTCCTCAAATCTATGACCTATCTACAATGAAAAAAAAGCACAAAGGATTTTTTTTATTTGCTGGGATAGTATTTACATATCCATTTTTCCTAGTACATTAAACTCCAATAAACCTACAAAGTGTTTGCATAGGGCTTATGTACTTTTCTATTAGTGAATAGTCAGTTTTCATTTCACATCTTATAAAAACTGAAATATATTTCCCCCCAAATAAGGCTATCATATCTGGACTATAAAAATCCACAAAGAACTTTTTTTAAGGTTTTGCTGCCATTAATGACTCCTTGGATTTTTGTAACTCAAATCCGAGAGTATTAAATATTTTTTTAATAACGTATTCCTTTAATGAAATATAACCATGTTGCTTATTTGTTAACCACAAAAAATAAAAGAAAAACAGAAGAAAAGTGAACATCTGCTATAAAAGAAAAATGAAATTATTTAAAATATATTTTAGATTCAGATCAGTGAAAGAAAATATATAAATTACAAGTAACAAAATTCAATTAAGAATAGTGTGAGGATATTGTGAAAATAAAACAAAACCTTTAAAAACTTACTTTGGAAACCAATTTAATCCAAGATGTTCTGTCTTAGAATACAATATACGTTCCAGCATTTCATAAAGTGGTCTCCAGGGCAATTCTAAATCATCTCTTGACAAAAGTTCTTTTTTTCTAAGTTAAAAAACACAGATACAAACAGAAATTGAATTTGAATTATTACTCACCTGACAACCTAAAATATTCTAAAACCTCTTTGAGTAACTATTTAAAATTATAGATCCAGGTCTAACTCTTACAATGGTATAAACCAGATTATTTTAATCAGGATTACCTGTTAATCAAATTCTCAAACAAATTAATATCATCTAGATTTATGTATGACTAACGGGGGGGAGAAGAAATGTAATGCTAGAAAACTACAACATTATGCAACTATTCACAGTATTTCTGATTGAGATATCAATATAACATCAAAACTGGCACTCAACATGTTCATTGATATAAATCCTTGCCTAGCAAAACCCTTTTCTACCCTTAAACAAGTGGAAACCAGTATAATTTTGGGCAACAGAAATTACAATGTGGATATATACATCTAAGGATGATAAATTTAATGAAGAGAAGGAAGAGAAGAGACATGATAGCAATATTCCAATATCACAGGGGTTGCCACAAAGAAGAGGGAATCAAGCTATTCTCCAATGAAGGCAAGACAAGAAGCAATGGATGGAAACTAAACAAAGAGAGAAGCAACCTAGAACTAAGAAACTTCCTGATAGTTAGAACAATTAATCAGTGGAACAACCTCCTCCAGAGGTTGTGAATGTTCCAACACTGGAAGTTTTTAAGAAGAGACTGGACAGCCATTTGTCTGAAATGGTATAGGGTTTCCTGCCTGAGCAGGGGGTTGGACTAGATGACCTCCAAGTCCCTTCCAACATTATTATTATTGTTGTTGTTGTTGTTGTTGTTATTATTGATCATCGCACAGTCAGCCAGATGTTCAGACTGGATTTTGCATTTTTGTCTAGCTATCAAGTCCTTACCAAGGATCTGGTATATTATTATTATTATTATTGTTGTTGTTGTTGTTGGTTTTCTTCTTGTTGTTGTTGTTCTTGTTATATGCAAAAATTAGAGGTATATAGTGGTTGATTTTTAATGGATTTTGAAAATGCAAGGCTGTACAGCTATATGACCAAGTCTCTAATCTTTCCTCAAACTTAGGAAAAAAGTAAAAGACACTTCTTTAGTCTGGCTAGGTTTTTGCTACTTCTGATATATAGGGCTTCTATATAAGGCCAGCATGACGTCAGAAACAAAATACCAATCAAAGCTGACAAAATTTGTTGAATCTCTTAGTTTTAACACTAATTATCCATATCTCCAGCTGTGGATCATTATTAAATATAGATAGAAGAATGGGGTAAAGCAAAACTTACTTTAGCAAGTTTATTAAAAGTCGAGCAAAACCTTGCATCATGCTGATCTCCAATTTTGGAATAGTTACTAGTTCATACAACAGCTTAATGAAAAGAACGTGATCTTCTTTACTAAACTTTCTCCCATAAAGCCGGAGATACCTGTAAAAAAGAAATTTTAAAATACTATAGGTAAGGTATTTCATTTTACCAACATCCTCATGTTAGTATATGCAATGCAAAAAAGTAAATATAATCAAAATAAATGATAAAGTACAAAAAACAAATACTAGGTATAATAAAATTATTCACAGTGAATTCAGGTTAAGACAATTTACAAATGTATCTAAATACAGACCTATTATGGTATTCCTTTTGGGGTTATGCAATATGCAAACTACAGAAAAATAAAAGTATACCTATATCTAATTTACATAGTTATTCATTTTATCTATTATGTTATTCATATTCATGTACATTATACTATTCACACAAACCATTCTTACTTCTCCATGCTCATACACCACCCCATATATCACTTTTTCTTTAAACTCTTTTGAGGATTTCATCAATTTCATCTACCATGATTTCTTACATTTGCATCTGTCAACAAACCCTCTAAAATTATGAGTATTCTTTTTGCATTTATTCATAAATATATTAAATAATCAAGGAGAAATCGCATATCCTTCTTTCACTCCTTGCTCAATGGTGAACCATTCACTAAGCAATTCCATTAAATCTCAAGCATGATTTATTTCCATTGTGCACTATTCTTACCATGTTCAGCTTCCAGCCACTGATCTGCATATTCAAGCAAAACATTCCACAATTCAAATTTTCTATTTTATCATCGGCTTTCTTTAAGTCAACAAACATAATAAACTTTCTCACATTCATACACATATCGAAGGTCTATAGAAACTATTTGAACTATATACCCCTGCCTTGTATTTTGTAGATATCAATATAGTGACCAGATGAGCAGTGTATTGAATGAGCTGGTGTGCATGCTTTGAGTTTTGTTGTTAATTTGATTTTTTAATCCCCCTTCATCCACACCAGTGTTGTGGGAACCCTCCAGGGAAGAAGTTTTTTTGGGGATATGGTACTTATCAGCTCCCTGGCCCACTGCAAAGCCCTAAGTACATCCAAAATCTTGATGGTTTCTGGAGTTCATGAAGCAAGGGAGGGGAAGAGAGATTGCTCCTGTGAGGTCGGGCATCTGCAAAGGGTGCAGATATTGTGGAGGCAGCAAGGAGGGCTCCTTGGTGGCAGACCGTGGAAGTCACTAACATCAGTCCAGTGCTATGGACAGATGAATCTCTGGTTGTCTTTCAACTCACTGGTGTCAACTTCTTTCTGCAGGAAGACATTCTAGATGAAGCGCCACAAGTGTTACCTGGAGTTCTGTGAGAGAAAGACTCACATGACTCTGATCTGATATGGGTATGAGCCCATATTAGGGATTACCTTATACCAATAAGGACAGGAAAACATCAATACATCTTTGACCATATTTCCTCCATTGATAGCTATCCAGTGGTTCTGTTTACTGTTCCCTACTGAGTTGGGAAAGGTTCAGATTATTGATGATCCAAGAGGACTGTTCAGGCTATCTGTTGGATAAAATTGTTCAGGTTTGCTTCAACTCAGACTCTGACTGAGCAGGATGAACCGAGGTGGCTGGGACATGGTCTATTGGTATTATCTGGGATGAATCTGAGCTGGTAACTCCTGAGGAAGTAGAGTGGGTTCTCTATGCTGTTAATTTGGCCATATGTGTCTAGATCTGAGCCACTCCTGGGTGACAAAAATGGCTAAGGTGAGGACCCAGAGTTGAGTCCATACTATGGTGTCAGTCTTCTTCCTGCCTTCAAAGAGACAAAGAGTGGCCCCTCCTTGGAGCCAATGGTTTTTGTTAGCTCTTCAAAGTAGTCTAGGCCAGGAAACCAAAACCAAGAATGCTAAAATTACCTTTATTGTAAGGTGACAATAACAGAACCTTGCAAATCTGAAAGCACTTCCCCCCCCACCACCACCACCTTTATGTCCCAGATAACTAGTGAGAGTCAATTCTGAGAGACTTTTTCCATCCCCATTCCTGCATTTCTCCCATCACCCTGAGATACGCCACACTCCTTACCTGCGACTCTGTCCACTTAATAAACTATGAGATCACTTAACTGCAATTGGGAGTACCAGGATTCTTGCTGTTGAGAGAAGCAGTCATATGATGTTTTGCTTAATAGCTGCTTTGTTCAATGACTGAAATTCCGGTTTCAATTGTGGTCATAAGTCAAGGACTACCTGCAGTTTTTCACTCTGATTTCTTTCAGTTCTTTCCCTTTCTTCCCTAAATCCACTCCTGATACTACCAACGAATGGTTTCCCCCTTAAATAAATAACCAGAACCTCTTACACACACTCTCATTCATTCTCTTTTATTGCACATAATCATTTAATCATGCTTTTTGATTCATTCCTTTTCCATTTGTACTCATGGATACACACATGCTTAAGTCATATACTTGAAATGAACATATTTTTTCTAAGCAGATAATCACCATTCTCATTCATCCTTGAGTTTCTGAATTGTTCAATACATTTTCTGTACTGCATGTCACTTAATCAAACCCAAACCCAAACCCTGCATTGCATTAATTCAGAATGTTGAATAGTATTTCCAACAACTCATCCCTGGTTTTTCCAGTTATCACCATACAATAAAGTATAACAGCCAATTATCACTAACCTATGAACTCCTGTTTCCATACACATTCATAGCAATCCTGATGACACAAGATCATATACATTCCAGAGTGTATTTAATTTTCCTCAATGTATTAGCCAATCTCATTTCTCAAGAGATTGGTTACCTTCATCCAAGTCTAGTACATCATATACATTCCAGAGTGTATTTAATTTTCCTGGATGTATTAGCCAATCTCATTTCTCAAGAGATTGATTACCTTAATCCAGATCTAACATATCATATACATTCTAGAGTATATTTAACTTCCCTGGATGTATTAATCAATCTCATTTCTCAAGAGATTGATTACCTTCATCCAGGTTTAGTACATATTACATCTTAGTATAAGTTTCACAGTTACACAATACTTTTTAATTTTATTAATTTGTTCAATAACATTATTATATACTCCTACATTTCAAATGGCATTATTTCATGTATCATGGTCATCATTGGATGGACTCATAGTTACTGAACTCCATTTTGGTTATGTCAATAAAGGTTTTCACGTACCACTTCTTAGTAAAATAGAAAGGTGTGGTCTGGCTACTAGCTTTAAGAATACCCATGCTACAAACTCCTTTACTAATGGTGCTGATCAGTTTTAGCACATGTTGGTCAGTATGCCGGAAAAACAGAAGCCCACATTTGCTCCAAGAATGGTCATATTATTCTATGTAACCTAGGATCCCTAATTTAGAAACTACCTCGAAAGCAAAATAATGTTATCCACATCCTATCAATTAGAAGGTATTTGGTAATGTACTGAGAAACATTAAACATGCTCTGGCAATAGGACTGAACAAATAATATCTTTATTAAGTGACAGAAAGATGGGACACCAAATGAATCCCTGAGTGTGCTGACACAGAAAAGGTGGGGGGTGGGGTTCTCCCAGTCACCTATCTAAAGCAGAAGAGTACTCATGAAAAAATCTTGGATGACAAACAGTAAGAAAGCACTTATTATACATCCTGAATATTCTAGTCTAAAAAAATAAGTTGAACTATTATATTCACTGCAAATTAGCATAAAAGCTATGAAATATTTCAAAACATGCTTTAAAATAATAGCTTATAGCTTATCCTAAATATCTGAATTCATTTTGAAGGACATTTTTGTAAGTCAAAAAATGGGAAACCAACTTTTTGTCAGCAAGTTTGAGACAATAAAAGCTGACTCTGCATTCATCTGCAATGTTTTCTAACATCATAATATCTGTGTTTCTAGTTAGTAAAATATCTTTGCCAACATTAATATATTTTATTCACCACACCATGATTGGAATTAAACATATAACAGAAGTAAAAAATAAAATACAGCTAGACTTTTTATTATAAGAAAGTTCATGCTATTTCAATTAGCAAGCTTGGTTAATGTATTCATTTTTGTACATCTTTGGAGACAGTTATGAACTCTAGCAAAATACAAAGGGGTTAGAAGTGTTAATTCAGAAACTGATAATGGACAGAACTGCTATTTGAAATGTCCTTTTCTTTGTTCTTTATACTCATTATTTGCAGTTAGTATATGCTAAATCTATGTTATTTGACTCAGTTTTTAACTTCTTTTAATGTCATGTTGATAAAATGCTTTATGTGCATGCTCTCTAGCAAATATTTTCCTTCAGGGATTAAACAAGCAGTGAACTCTTATACAAAGGTGTTGACTAGGAATGTCAGCATTCAAATGTGCTATCAAATTGCTGTTCCCTGTAGGCAGAGTGATTTTTTTTTGTTCTTTATTCTGTCACATCAAAAAGTGAATGGGAAGAGCAAGACTGAGTAGTTTCTAAATACAATTTCAACATTCAAAAAAACACTGCATGTCAGTTTCTATTCCTAGCTATGTTTTTAATCAACAAGAACTTTTTTATTCTAACAAGAATTGTTGGCCACCAAGGACAATGTGTTGTGATACATGGTTGTTGTTTTTTTTAAAAAATAGAAAATAATTAAAAATAAAGATATCTCAAATGTATTTTTTAAAAATTTAGATACATTGTCTCTTCTGAAGTACTGCCAGTTCAACCTACATACATGAGAATTAATAATCAAGATATACCTAAACTGGTATTTGTAAACCAACCAGTCACTCAGGTGTGATAGGTGGTATGATGGACAGACGGACGGACAGACAACTGGATGATTTACACGGTAGGTGGGTAGGTGGATGGGTAGGTAGGTACGTAGGTAGGTAGAGAGATTTGTAAGTAATATGCTTGAACAACACAACAGTAAATTATTTCTATGTGCTGCCAAGAGAACTACATGGATGTATCCATGAAGTAAGAAGTTGGGCTTTATCTCCCTTCCCAAGAGAACCTTCACCTTTCATATATACTATGACAAGAGGTTTCTAATTATGAGTTAAGAACCTCTAGAAACTCACTCATGAGCAAATTGGG